GTTGCCTAACATTATACCGGTATTACCGTGAACGGTATAATATGGCCCAGCCCTATTGTTTAACTTTTACTACCAACAATCTGACCTTTCTTCAAAGGTTCAACCCTCTCTCAGACAGCTGTCCATAGTTGTGATATGCTAGCATGATTTACCAGAGGATCTTTATTGAGAAAGAAAATGTATTTCAACACTTTTTAAAGGCTGTTGTAGTTTTTGACTTTGGATGCATTTATTTGTTTATATTTTATATGTTTGTACAGTGATCACTAGTCTGACAGCACCACAGACCATTTACCGGTTCAGCAATTCAGCAACGGCTGGCAAATAATTGACTGTGTTATTGCTCCTTTGGGATAGTAGTGTATGACGCACTCCCATGTGGCAATAAAAACAAAGAAGAATATGTTTTTAAGACAAGAAAGATAGGTGTAATTGTTTTATTTTTTTAATAAGTTACCATTTAACAAGTTGTCTGTTCTAGTTCACTTTTAGTTATATCATTGTGTAATAGTGGTTGTTCAAGTCTCTGTGCACTTTAACAAAAAGGTATGCTGTTTTCTTTCTCTTTTTAAAACTTTTGGGACTAATAAATATTTAAATGTCACACTTGGAGGATGGACTAGTGACATTTCAAAATCCTGCTTTTTTGTTCCTGTGTTAACCTCAGATCTAAGGTGAGCTTAGAAAAGAGGAGAACAGGTTCACTGCACATACATCAGTCCAACTGCAAGGGAAGGAACAATAATGGAAACATGATTTTAAGTGGATGGGAACTTGAAAATGTCTTTGGTTTATACTGTGATTAACAGCTAGGCTCAGGAACAGGAAACCTCTCGAGCTGTTGATGTTAAGCAGGAGGTGTATTCTGAACTTTAGTCCAAACAGTAGCTTTCCTGTGTTAAAATGTTGAGAAGGCAGCTAAAGGTAACAACAAGAAGGTAGGTGAACCACTGCAGTTCTGTGCTGTTTGTGGAGTTCATAGTTATGGAAGTGCATCTCCTCACATATACCAAACTGTGATGTTCACAATAAGTCATCAAATGAACAGTAATGGTTGTTTCATATCAGACATCGTTGTCAACTCCTTGCATTGTTGAATCTTCAGTCTGACACTGCTTCCAAACTAACCAAATACAGTGAGGAAGTGAAACACACCGCAATATTAAAAATGCAGGCCAGTAGATGTTGTCGCTATTGCGGTTATTATTTCACTTCTCATTCTCTCATTTTCTGTTTGTTATTACTGCTCCTTGGCACTGGCACACAATTTGACAACAGTGTTAGTCCCACTCATGATTAACTGTCTGCTCAATTCTGCCAAGGTGCCACATGAATCAGCACACTGGTGGAGTAGATAGATTCAAAGGTCAAGAGTCAGGCAACAAAGATGGCAAAGGAGCCAACTTCAACACCAGACAAACTTAATATTGTGCAGATTTAAGTTCAGCTTATCAACAGTCCCAGTTTTTCATGTGGTCCCTTATCCACTCCCTGGTTTAAAGCCTACCTGTACTAACCATGCCTTTCAGCTAACCTGGACCAGTGATTCTGTCATGAGCATGCTTAGGCCTGTATATACCATCAGCGAGAATTAGTAGTGGAACACTTGATGTTTTTGCCTGCAAAAACTTGCCCCTGCTTCTTTTATCTGCTCTCACGTTAACGGAGTACAGTCATAACAAATCTATCACCACAGAGGTGTGTATACCTCAGGTTCCCTACAGCATTAGAAGTTTTCTCAAAGTCCTATAGGTTGCAAGAGATGGGGGGGGGAAATGAAATCAACCAGCTGGAGATACTTACTTGTAGCTCCAGCAGTATGTGCTGACTGGTATAAAATTCAAGCCTGAGTCAGTCTGAATCAAGTTCCTTTTGCAGTTCATACATATATATTAGAAAATCATGAACCCTGGCTTAAGAAGTCAGACTCGGCTTGAATGCCAGATGTTTTCATGGATTTATTTTTAAGAAACACATCAATACTTCTGTGGTGAAAAAATCCTCAAGAGTCACCACAGATGTTTTGGTCAGATGTCTGGTAGTCTGTACGGGGGTGAATCTCACTGGTAAACGATGTCAGTCTTGGTGCACTTGTGGGGTTGGGCTGTCTGTTGCAGAGGGAACATTCTCCGTGGTCATGACTGTATCAGTGATGGATGGTGGTGTGAGACCAGCAGACATTACAGCACGCTGACCATCTTCCCAAACAAACTCAGAAAGTAATTCCACATCAGAGACCTTTAAGAGCTTTCTGTGGGTGCCCACAGGTGGTATCGCTGTGAAAACCACATGCACATCTGCCTGCTCACATGGTTTCATATCTCTGCTGCATGTCAAACAAAAAGGTCCAGTTTTCTCCACAAATAGACAAGAGCTGACCTAGAAAGGTGTTTAAGATGATTAATTTAGCAGTCAGTCAGATTACAGTTCAGTCAAAATGAGCGTGCTGAGACGATTGATCCTGACATTTAAGCAGAGCGACAACAATCAGCCTTCAAAATCACAGCTGCTTGAGGAGCAGCAGTTATGCCCCAAGGAGCTTATTAGAGTTTTTCAAGAAAAAAGCTGTCATTAAAATAAAAAAAAATTAAAAGAAAAACATCCAGGACTGATTCAACGTTTATATGTGATTTGTCAAAATAGTGAGCATTCATTTAAATAAAGACAAGGAAAAACACTCCCTCATGGGTCCCACATTACTTAATGAGTTCTCAAAAGATCACATGAAACTGTTAAACAGAGGAGTTTTTGTGATTTCCAAAGCAAAAGAATCTGCTGTTTTCCTGTATTACATTGATATCCACGTACTAAATTTCTCTCAGTAGCCCTGTGAGACAAATTTGTCATTTTGCCTACATAAATAAAGGACCAGTGGCCCTATATTAAGAATAAATGGGTAAAAAATAGCTCATAAATTAAAGCTAGACTCCTTCACATTAAAGTGCACCTTTAAACAGTAATATATTTTTTGCTTGTGAGATCAATAAGACTTAGTCAGCTTATCAACAAGTAATAACAGTAAATGCTGGGTTAGTGGGGTGTGGGTTTTGCTCAG